GTGAAGTAAATAGATATATAATAAAACACAGAAACAAATATGTTTTGCCAGTTTTCTCCTGAAGTATGACTGCAAATTTATATTTTCGATGCAGGAAATACACGCTGCCAACTAGAAATAATTCATTTTGAAGCTTTCGAAAGAAACAAGTGAAGCAAAATTTTAAAAAATATGTGAATTCTACACACACACACACACACACACACACACACACACACACCCCATATATATTCTTTCATCTCTGAATGCAAATAGCAAAACATCCTTGAATGGTTTTAAATTCAGGAATTTCATAATATAATCAATATGCAGTAGTAGCCAGGATGCTCTTTGTGGAATACAACAAAACATAAAGCATTTTATTTCTTGTGGAAAGTAGAAAAAATTTCACTGGTAGAAAACAAGCGTAGAAAAGAGAAATGAAGCATTTAAAATCAATTCATTACCATGCGATTTCCCTTCTCACTCCCTTTCCCTCCCATCTCTCATCCCTGTTTAATGTAAATCTTCTTCTCAAGCTCTTCGTCCCTACCCTGTCCTTGTTTACTCCCCTTATATCAAAGGAGTCATTTGGTATTTGTTTTTTAAAGATTGACTAGCTTCACTTAGCATAATCTGCTCTACAGCAATCTGTATACGGGGTAAAATTGGGAGTTCATAACCCACTTGAATCAAACTGTGAAATATGATGTATTAAGAACTATGTAATGTTTTGAATGACCAACAATAAAAAAAATAAATAAATAAATAAATAAATAAATAAATAAATCATGAACCATCTAAAGAATAAATAATTAAATATCAAAAAAAAAAAAATAAAAAATAAAATCAATTCATATCAGCTATCGTCAAAAAAGCTGATAAATTAAGATGGTTGACAGTTTGAGTTTTTCCTGTTAAAGCTGAATGGTAGCAGGTTCCAGAAATTTTAAAAATCACAGGAAAAGCTTCAAATTGAAAATTTTTTTGTTTGACATAGTCTCACCCAGTACCTTTTATATGCCCGAAGTATCTACAATAGTGCTTGGCACACAACAAACACAGTACTAAATACCTACTGAATGAAATCACAAAGGCCTTTTGAGAACAACAGTTTGAGCAAGTGCTAAGGCACTAAGGTAGTTTACATAGGCCCAGTAGCAAATGCATGCAAAGAAATGGAATCACAGCGGGAAAGGAATTTGTAATGTGTCTAAGCTTTTCCAGTCCTATATACAATCACTCTGACATACGAAAAAATACAGTAATTTGAAATACCTTTTTTTTATTTAAAATAAAACACTATAAAGGATATGACGACATGAACATTTTAAATATCAATGCGTAAGGACCTTAAATCTTTCTTTATAAATACTGGCTACTCTTAAGTATTAATAAATATTCAATACTTTGTCAGTTCCAGCATAAACCAGATCATATGCAATTTGAAAAAAAAGCAAAATCTGGTTGATTGGTTAGTCAAATAAAAACTAATCATTGAGAAGCTCCACATTTTTACCTTTTTGCTATAACAAGCAGTAAATACAATAAATGATATAATTATAACATGTAATAAAAGTATAAATAAAACCAAATACAAATGTAAAAGCAGCATATACTCTGAAAATGTATTACATGAGAAGAATTTGGTACTCCTTTAAGTATGATTCTTGAAATTAATTTTGGCCTATTTCCATGGGTATTTTAAATATAATGGCTGATTTCTTAAACTTCTGGATATAGGCAAAAAGAAATCATGATTCTAAAACTAATGCACAATTGGAATGTGAAGAATGATTTTTCAGGGGGAGAATTTCACATTGTGTATAAATCAACAAAAACTTAAACAAGTAAAATTTAGTTTTCCTTAATTAGATTTGGAATTATCTTGGCTTTCAGAAATTATAATCTTTGAAATGTACCAAAATCTTCATTATTGCAAATATGAGCACAAAGTTTGGTCTAGAAACTTTTTTTCTGAACATGGAATGTTATATCAACAATCTATCTACCAATCAAGATTAATACATACATATAAATACACATATATATATTTCAAACTTTCATTAGGATAAAATTATAAGAGAAAAATAAACCTACTTTACACAAGAACATTAGCTGATATTAACACAGCAAGTTTTGCCACATAGGTTTACATTTATCAAAGTGAAATACTATATTGTAAATTCTAAATTTTACATACTAATGAAGTGAAGGAGGAGCAACCAAGATTCTCTTTATAAAGAACTCGGAGATATTACACATCACTTTAGCAGTGGACTTTCTTTTAGCTCTTCTGTTTAGTTTACAATGTTAAGTCTTCACTGCCTAAGGCTTAGTAATGATAGGGCAACTGCAGGAAGCAGACTGGGAATCCAGAGCAGTGGAAAGTCTGGCTTCACAATGATTACATGTGTGGATGACCGTGCTAACCACATATACATATTTGTGAATATTACTTTCACAAACAAATCCTGTCATCACAGCCTCACTGACAAATGATGTCCCATTCTTTACTACAGTGTCTTACTTATCTATAATACTAGCTTCAGAAGGAGAAAGGAACACTCAAAACAGGCTTTAAACTAAGTGTATGTGCCTGTGAAAATGGCAACTTGGGAAATAGAGAAAATTCTGGGAAAACAAAAATGCTTAAAGGTTTCAGGAGCTAGAGTTCTATTTACATTTCAAAGGAGAGTTTATGCCTATTTTTGTTTAACTGAAGTGGTTTAGTGAAATAGTGGGGACAGACCACATTTAAACAATCAAAGTTCAACTTCAACTTGGTTCTCTACTAGTTTTTGATGAAGGATTGTTTCAGTGGGATTCTCAATGAAGACTTTTGGTTTCTTTTAAATGTATTGCAACAATTGGATCATGTTTTATAAAATAAATGTCCAAAATRTTTGAAAGCCAGAATAACACTCATTAGGTGAGAAGCTCTATTTGTGTTTCTCTTTTTTTTTCCTAATGTTAGAAAATTTATTTGTAATATGGACCAGAAGGTCATTCTGGACTTTTGCTTCAATACATATGTAGCCTGAGGCCTGGGTCAGGAGTCAGAAGAGTTTGCTGGAGACTATTAGTCCTGGGGCTCAGGTAGTAGCTGTCTCCTTGGTTTCAGCAGTGGATACAAGGCTTAACTCACTGCCTGGCACACTGCAGGGGACAAGAAATGTTGCTGGAAAAAGAAATCTCCACTCCAATAAAAGCTCTCCTTCTGCTGTAAAATAGGCTTTACGTACTCAGGGATTCCTGTTAGTTCACATGTAAAAACAAAAGTGAAATTTAGTGAGCCAATGAGACACAGTAGATATCCTCAAAATGTAATGTATACATACATCCTGATTTTTTCTTTAAAAAATACACCATACCTTACATTCAAGATAGGTCCTGAAGTGTTCATCAGTGAAATTTTATGTGATACCTTGAATTTGCTTTAAAATATTACAATAAAAAATGCTTGTCTATGAGGACCAGATTGAGCAGTGGCAAAACATTAATAATTGGTGGATCTGGGTGACTGTGTTTGTTCATACTGTTATCTGCACTTTGTGTGATTTAAAAATTTTGATCCTCAGGGTTATACAAAATGTCATATAAGAGGAAAGGAGGGGCAAGACAAGATAATACAAATGGAAGAAATGATTTACAGTAGAAGGGGTAGAGAGAGAAAAGGGGAGGGGAGGGGAGGGGAGGGGAGGGGGGGGGGGGGGGGATAGTAGAGAATAGGACAGACAGCAGAATACATCAGACACTAGAAAGGCAATATGTCAATCAATGGAAGGGAAACTGATGTGATACAGCAATTTGTATACGGGGTAAAAGCGGGAGTTCATAATCCACGTGAATCAACCGTGTAATATGATGTATTAAGAACTATGTAATGTTATGAACGTCCAATAAAAAAAAAAAAAAATGTAAAAAAAAAAAAAAAATTTTGATAATAAAAAATAATTCTTCAAATTAGTTTCAATAATAAAAATAGTAAAGGCAAAATATATTTTTTATTATCAAATTACTATATAAAATAATTAGAAACTTTCCAAAGATCTGTATAAAATTAAAGAGAAAATTAACAAGTGAATAAGGAAGTTCCATAGCAGCACATGGAACCTGACTCATGCTCACAGGAGTGACCATGAGACACATCTAGAAGAGCATTCATCAGCATTTGGAATGGTCATCTCTGTATGCATCTCTGCAAAGAGAAATTGTAGGCAGTTTTTTTTTTTTTTTAACTTTTTCTTGATAGTGCTGTTTTATCAAACTTTTCCCAGGAGTACATATTAATTTTTTAATTAGGAGAAACTGTTATCTATAATGAAATTCTATAATCATCTTCATTATGTTATTGTTTATAGATGATGGAATGACTTTATGTTAAAAATTATGTCAGATTTTAAGTAAACAAAGTAAGAAGGTGCTATACTTCTAAAAATAATATAAAATATAAAATCTGGAATATATTACATTATTTCCAGAAATACAAATAACAAGTTTTAAGGTACATTTCCTTAACCACCTACTGAGTGCATTAAAACGTAAAACGTCTAAAACAATATAAAATACAACATTATAACATACCTTTTTTAGTTAATTCAAATTAGGATAAAAATTCTATTAGTTATAGGAAGAAAGAGCATTTGGAAGAGGAAAGAATGTTTTCTAGTTGATTCCTAAAGAATTTGAAAGTATTCCAATAGTTCTATGTAAAAAAAGTATTTGTGGATATTTTAGTAACATATTTGTTCTTAGAGAAGAACAGATGGAAACACAGAATAAAATATAATTTCCAGATGCACAAGTTTATGAATTCAGTGCCATGGACTCAGCATTGTCAATTAAATCTCAAAAGATCTCAAGTTTAAATTTAGCTGATACTACATCCCTTTCAGAATGAATTCTGACCTGGTGATGAACCTCTGGTCTCCCTTGAGGTCTGTTATCTCAGGTGCCATTAGAAGGATGGTATTCTGGAGGCATATAACCTTATATCTTAAGGCAGGTTGCCGCTGTCCTCACTTCCTAGTCTGCAGGGACCCCAGAAGAGTGAAAAGCAGCCCACAGGGCCTGTCTCCGTGTCATTCCCTCTCTGGAGTCTTTATTATACAAAACAGTGGCTGCACATAGACCTTATTCAAGGGATGTGCCATTTCCACCTCTCCGTATTTCCTTGCTGATGTTAAAAAGAAATTTAAGAATAGCTCCCTTTTACCAAAATACTGGGGAGCCCCCAAAGTAGCAAAAACAATTCAAATAATGTAAAGAAAAACAAATAAAAGGTGTCATCTCAGTTACCTGGTAGATATTCTTTCCTTTTACATCTGTGTTCTAAGTTTTGGGAATGGTGAGAGATCTCTTAGATTTTGGTTTATCCAAATCAGATATCTATATCAGACTGAAGAAGTACACTTTATTAAAAATTAACTGTATACTTACACTTGTCTTGGGTGGAAATTCTGTTTCTTAATACTTGTGTTTCTAGATGATCTTGGGCAAATCATTTAAATTCTTACTTTTTAAAAGTCTAGTACATCATGAATATCATCAGATTAAAACAATTTTTCCAAATTTTATTTTTTACCTGGTCCCTAGAAGAACTGGATCGCCCGATGAGCAGTGCTGGAATGATGCTTCTTTGAAGTGTCTGAAGGCTCCAGATGTAATTTTCTTTTAGACCGGGCTGTTCTGCTTACTATTGACCTATGATCACTTACATTGACTTCTTTAGTTTGATTTGCTGATTGCTGCTGTAGTTGGGGATCTTTAGTTTCTATGTCTGATTCAAAAATGTGTGGCTGTCTTTCCAGTTTTAGAGACTTGTGGCTTTTCCCTAAAATTTCTGTTATACATTTACTTGTTAAATTTTCTCTTTCATGGAAATTAACAGAGCTTTTTATCATACTTAAATTATTATTTGACATCTGAAATACTTCACTATTAGATAGCTGTTTGCTTTCATCTGATCTCACCATTGATTTTCCATAAGAGGAATATTTTGTCATACTTTCATAGGACTCAATATTTATTTCTTGCAGAGATCTGGAGCTCTTCTGATTTAAATTTCTAGCATGCATCTGAATGTTACCATTGGGTGTTTTTTTAATAGTTGGACTTAAATTTAGTTTGTCGTTCTTGATTATACTAGTTTTAAGTGAAAATAATTTAGATTCTGTAAAAACATGCTGTTTTCTTTTCAGTTTGCCAAGTGCTGAGATATTTTTGTTTGTCTGTAACATTTTATTTTTGAAAATTGGTATAAATTTAGGGGTGATGTTATTTTGGGAGCTAAGGCTTGTTTGCTGAACTTGATTGTCTCCTCTGTTGAGTTTTGACTCTTTAAAACAAAGTTGTGGAACCTTGTGAGACAGGGATGGCTTTCTATCCTGAGCAGACTCTGGCCAGCCATGCAGAGATGAGAAAATGCCAGACTGTGGCTGGCTTGTGGAAAGCTCCACCTTGTGGTCTGTTGCTACTGAACATGGTAGAAGACTGGGAGCCCAGGAAGGTTTTAAGGAAGTGGCTTGAGTCAGAGAAGCCCTGAACAGTTTTTTAGTAGTCAAATTGGGCGGCTTGACTTTGTTTTCCTGAAAGAATAGAAATTGGAAAAAAAATTAAAGTAATAATGTCCTTAACTGAAAATAAATAAAAATATAAATATCATCARAAAAAGAATATAAAGTAATACTATAATATGTAGAACAGGTGAAGAAAAACACTACGCAAATAGGCCTTCTGGTATAGTGTGTACATTTCTTATGGTTTGTATCCATCCTTTCAAATTAATGTCTTATGATGAAGGCATATTCTAAATTCTATATAAATAGCTATGAAAACTACACACACACAGAGCTACATTGTCCTCCAGAAGTGTTCATGCATCCATCTTGCTAAGAATGTTCCCTCTTCTCTAATCGGTTCTCAGCTGTGGTTCTCCCTGTCTTGAAAGTCCCACCTCCTCCAAATCCTCCACCTGTCAATCTACCACAGAATGACTGTTTTTCTCTCAACCCTCTAAGGATCTGCTGCCAGTTAACAATTACCTCTCACAAAAAACTAGTACAGGGAAGTGGTCTTATGGTTTAGTGAGAATGTTTCACCTCCCTAAACAGATAGTACATTCTTGGAGAGGAAGAATCATGACTTATTTTTTCTTATATCTTTTATACTTACTCAAAAGTACTTGTTGAAAAAAGGAGATGTTTTGTCCACACTAAACCTTTTAAGATAAGTGGGATTTTGGCTACAGGGCAGGGCTTTGTCTTAATTGTGTTTGTAGTTTTGTTGCCTACCACAGTGTTTCAGCAAGTATTTGTCAAACTGACTGGTCAGATGCATCAAAGAGAGCCAAGTATTTATGGTTAGCTTGAAAAATTAAAAGTCATGTTTTCTTTTTAAAACATAACAATAAATAAAACAAAAATTTTATAATAAATTAACCATTTTAACTATTTTTAAGTGAACAATTTACTGGCTGAAAGTACAATTTACATTGAACTTATGTTATCTTATGATTTCTAAAACATTTTCTTTATCCCAAACAAAAATGTTTCCCCTTCCTCCCAGCTCCTGGGAGCAATTTGCCTAGTCTAGATAACTCTATGAATTTGCCCATTCTAGATATTTCATATGAAATAATATAGTATTTCTCCCTTTGTGTCTGGCTTATTTCACTTGGCATAATGTTCTCAAGTTTCATCCATGTTGTAACATATATCAGAATTTCATTTTCTTTTATGGTTGACTATTCCATTGAATGCACATATGACATTTTATCTATCAATTCGTCTATTGATGGAAGTGTTTATAATCTTTTAAAATACATATCAATTAAATTTTAGTGTCTATAAAAGAGTGAAATGTAGTAATAATCTGAAACATTGAACACAGTGATTTTTCACCTTTCTACATCAAAAATATCTCACAGCTTAAAATAAAATTTAAAAAGCTTCTAGGAATAACATTCAAACCAGAACAATTGTATTTTCTCCTGCCTACTCAAGTTCAGTTGTTGAATAGGGTTAAGAAGAAACTAGGAGAGACTTTGGGGAGATCAGACCTGTAAATAGGAAAAATAAGAGATGGACCCAATTATCTATGAGGCATAATAACTTACATAAAATTGTAGTGGTTTAAAATTTTAAAATCTATAGAACTTTAACATACACTTTGGGGGACACAATTCAAATACCTCTAGAGAGTAAAGAGTGGGATACAGCTGTTCTTCTAAAGTCCTCTATATATGGGAGCCAACATAAAGGTAAAAATTTTCTGAGTAATCTTGTATACCATCTTTGTCAAAATACCACAAGAAGAGACCATTACCATCAGATCGATCAAGAAGTGAAGGCTTGCCCCATCCCCAGTGGGAATGATATGCTGGTATTCACCTCCATTCAACTTTCTTCCTGGTGTTCTTTCCTGAGAAAGAGCCTGGAAATCTCAAAGTGACATTTTCTCCTTTGCATTCAGGGTTTTGATTTAGGACCAGCCAATCAGTACACATATACAAAATTTGGAAGGAGGAAGTAAGGTAAAGCCCCACTTCTGCTATTTTTGATGAAAGGCTTAATTACAAATGTCTTCTTTGACTTTCAGTTATAGTTAGCAGAAGCTCAGGTGATCACTCACCAGCCCTGCAAATATCCAGAGCAGATGAAGCTTAAAGCATGTGCTTTTGCTATAGACCCTATTAGGCAAACCTACTAGTGAATTTCGCCGTGCACCACTGCCCTCATCTTATGCACACCAATTAAGCATGTGAGAAGGATTCTTAAATATGGTTGAAATTCTACTTCAAGAAGATGATTTTATCTGAAGTGGCTGAGTTACCCTGAAGTGTCCAGGTTGAATTTTTTTTCCCCATTTGATGAAAAAAGGGTTCAAGAACTAGGATGAAATTATTATAGAAAAGTGAAAAACATTCATTTCTTGGACCCTGGGTTTCATAAACTGTAGTAACTTTTAAACTACATACCTACAACCTGAAATATTAAAAGAAAAATGCACTCTAGAAAGATTCATGTAAGAATAAATTACTTTTGTTCTAACATAAAACTTTTCCAGAATATGGGTCTTATTTTTGAAATATGTTTATATTCATACTCTGTTTTCTTCTTGCCTGTCTCAGATATTCACTGCTAGTGAAAATAGTTTCCAGGAGTTTGTTTTGCCCCTTGGCCTGTGTCAATATATTATTTACTCATAATTTCAATTTTTAAAATAATATAAATAGCCCAAAGGGGGGAATCTCTAGGTTTATATTCAAAATTTATAAGAAGACTAAAAAGAAACTATGTAAACAACAGATGAGATCATAAATAATTCACAGAACTTAAATATATGTAAATGGTAAACAAACCAAAGCTTTGTGAAGTCATGAGCCAACAAAAAGCATAAGCTTTATTATATCATTATAATTATTCTCCTAGGTATCATTGGAAAATGCGCTTTGGTGGACCTTTAATTTCTAGAATTTATATATAATGTATATAACATTACACACTGATATAAAATTATAGAGAAAACCCAAAAGCTTGAACCTATATTTAGATATGAATGGATATCTAATGGAGGCCTAGTATTAAGGTAACGATTAAATGAAACTTGAGAAATAACCAAAATGTGTGAACAAATGTACTTCATCTATTAAGACCTATATATATGCATGGCACCAGCTTAGTGTAGGGATATTCTCCAAAGTAAATGATTCTGATTTTCTAGCAAATAACTGCTATAGATAATGGTATAGATGAAAAGATATTTAGAGACATATTTTCTGATTGAAAAATGAATATTTGAGGTAAATGAGTAATTGTAGTATGAACTGTTTTTTGATGATATTAAGGAACTGTTGTTAATTCTTGTAGGTATAAAAATGCTCTTATGAAGTAGAAATGCATACCACAGTCTTTAAGGTAAAAGAATAACATATCTGAAATTTGACTCAAAATAACTCTGGTTTATCCCTTACCTAAAAATATGTCAAGGGAAGCTAGATGACAGGCATGTGAGTGTTCATTATACCAGTTTCTTTCAAGCATCTTTAGAAATTTCCATAATTTAAAACAGCTAGTTTGGCTAAGCACTCCTGCTAATTAGAACATTTTTAAAAATCAGCTGAGTTTTAAAAACTCAGGACAGTTTACAAAGGCCTGGCAATTCTGGCCAATGCAGAACTCTGGTGGGCCAGTCTAACCTCAGACGGCTGGGAGGATTGGCCAAGGCTGTCTAGTGCCTACCTTGCTTCAACATCTGTCTTACCCAACCTTGCTTTCTTCCCATCCTTCACAGGTGTTGCTCCTGTGAAAGACAATCCCTGACAAACATGACACGAACTAGATTACATTTCAGAGTTGCTCCCAGAGTGTTTCATCCATGACAAGTGGTGTCTCACCACCACTGTCTCTTCATACCACTTTACAAGTGAGGAAACTAAGTCACAGGGAGATCAAATAGCTTGCCCCAAATTATACAAGTAATAAGGGATTCAAAACCAGACAACTTCTAGAACCTGAGCTCTGAACAGGAAATCTAAACTTTTTCCAAATACAAAACTCAGAATGTCTATCTGGATTTCTTTTTTGCTTTTTAAGAGAGAGAGGGAGGGGGGGAGAGGGAGAGAGAGAATTTTTTAATATTTATTTTTTAGTTTTTTGTGGACACAACATTCTTTATTTTATTTTTATGTGGTGCTGAGGATCGAACCCAGCGCCCTGCGCATGTCAGACTAGCGATTACCGCTTGAGCCACATCCCCAGCCCCCTGGATTTCAATTCTAATTTTGCAGGGTGTTAAACTGTGTGGTTTCAGTTAAATACTTGGATTCCCTGAGCATTGGTTCCTTCTTCTTCAAAATTAAGAAAACAATTTTTTATCTCTAGGGCCAATTTTGATAATTAAATTAGAGGATACATATAAAGGTATCTGGTACACAGAAAGCACAGAAATGACTAGAAAAGCACTTAAACTAGAAAAATAAAAGGAAAGAAAGGAATGAGTAGACTCATTACAATAAGTCTTTACTTATTATCAGGGTTCCATTTTCAGAAGAAAATGTATAAGCAAAAGGTATAATGTATGATCAAAATTTCCAGTTATTCTTTTACATTTATGAAGCAATTTTCACAAGTACATTGTCCTGATTTAGTATGTATAAAACAGATCTGAATTGTATTTAATAAATAAATAAAAACACATGATGTAATTATATATCTTCTTCCAAATTCTCTGAATGTAATCTTGGCTAGCAACTAAACTATAAAATAGGTTATGTCTAGGAAAAATGTTAAGACATGGTATCATAAAGATGTCAGTGGTATTTGTCCATCCATAGTCCTTCTAAGGGAGCCTTGCTTATAGCTCCTGATGTCTAGTTTACCATATTTTTGTGCCATCTTCCCCAGCTAATTGTAGAGGGGGTGGATAGCCCCTGACCCAGGGATACCAAATTCATAAGCTGGCTAGTGACAGATGATGTGACTGGGCTTAGGAAGAGAATGGTCTCAGATACCAGCTCTGGTGGATCTTAGTAGAGGAGTATAAGGAAACTCAAACAATTCACATGGAAATAAAACCTGAAAAAATG